AGAGTGACGACCTCTCTCTAAGTTTGAATTCGAACCTTTCGTAAATGGTGCGAGATCCTCGTGTTAACGATCAGACCGAGTAGGAAACACCGGTAGCCCATCCCCGTAGCGATGCGGAAAATCTTGATGAACAAATATATTTAAAAATATAGGGTTCGCCAAAAAATTTATTTTGAGATTACTCGATTTAAATTGACTCGTGCTCCTAATTTGTGGCCCAATAATATTTCCTTAGAAAGTGAAATGTATGAATCTTACAAGAAGACCTAACAATGAACCTGGGCTACCTTCCTGGGCCAAAGCCTTGTGTTTTTGAGATTGAGCCCACGCTCTTAATCTTGCCAAATATGAGGTATGGAGACCATTTTGATCCTTCACAAGTAACATAGAACAATCAAGGAAAATTGAGTACTTATTATATAAATCTTATGAGAGAGTACTAGCTAAATGGGCCAAATACCCAGAAAAAAACCTCAACCTTTAGTTTTTGTCCCAATTCTACCTTTTTGTTTCATAAAATACCTTCAACTTTAGGTTATGTCCCAATTTTACCCTAAACTTTTTTTGGTCCTATAAAAAAACTCTCAACTTTAGATCCAGTCGTAATTTCTACCCTAAATTTTCTCTGTCTCATAAAAAACCCTCAACTTTAGGTTGAGTACCAATTTTACCCTAAACTTTTTTTTATCTCATATAAAAATCCCAACTTTAGATCCAATTTCAATTTTATTCTAATTTTGTTGTCTTATAAAAGATCACCAACTTTTACTTAAGTCTCAAATCTACTCTCCATTAACCCTTAGGGATTTTACGCTCGTCGATCTCTCGTGCTTGGGAATGCTCCATCTCTCGCGGTCAGAGAGCGCTCGGGTTGCTCGAATAGCCCGTGCTTGAGAGTTTTCCATCTATCAGTTATCAACAAAAATTTTTGGACGAAGAGTTAATGGGAGCAGATTTGTGACTCAAGTAAAAATTTGTAGTTTTTTACGAGACTATAAAAATTTTAGGGTAAAATTAGGACAAAACCAAAAGTTGGAGGTTTTTCCTAGGAAAAAAAAGTTTATGATAAAAGTGGGACATGTTCTAAAGCTGAGGGTTTTTTATGGGATAAAAAAAGTTTATGGTAGAATTAGGAATGGACCTAAAGTTTGAGGTTTTTTATGAGATAAAAAGTAAAATTATGACAAAAGTTAAAGTTAGAGATTTCTTAGGGTATTAGTCCAGCTAAATGAATGGTTTCACGTGCTCCCAAGTGGCGATGCTCGTCGTAATTCATTCAGGTTCGGAAAAACAAGGAATAACAAATGGCGTGTTTGATAATCGTTGAATGTCGCGTCATCAACCGATGAATCCGCACAAACATTTCTGAACGAAGAAAGGGATATACTGACTTGATTCGATCCTGGATTTTCTTCTTAACAACGTACATCTATGTTGAGCTCGCTACATGAACATGACAAAAAGAAACAAAAGAGAAAGAAGAAAGGGAAACAATAAGATCCCTGGATGTGAGCAAGTCCTTAAACAATTTGAGTCTGAACTTTGGGACGTTAAACACGGAGGCTTTTCCTGGGGCGAGAGAATAAAAACTATCCTCCAATTTGGAGGGCTGAACGTGCGGGCACGAGCACGTTAAAATAAGGAATGCGGTCTTATCAACCCGTCAAATGTTTACACTTGGTTAGGCAAGCAACCCCAGTCGAAAGCACATGCTTTCCCTACTTTGTTGAGCTCGTTACATGAACATGAATAAAGAAACAAAAAGAGAAAGAAGAAAGGGAAACAATAAGATCCAATGCATGGACTTATATTATCTTCCCTTCCAGAAACCAAGTCAACCCCACCATCTAATGCAGGCCAAACACATGAAACCTTCACCTAAGCATGCCTCAAAACGATGGAGTTTCATTCAAGCATTAGTTAATCTTAGCACACTGGACAACTCCATATGCATGCAAAGGGCACATCTGGTCCATATGTACTAAACTTCATCGAGAAAAGCACAAGTCATAAAGTCAACGTGTATTCTATTAGTCGAGCCTATAATACTTGTTGAGAAAAAGAAAATTGGGGAAAATTACAGGCAATAATGGAAAATTGGCCCGTAGCCAAAAGATTTTTGTTCCAATTTGGTCATATCCCATATGTTGTATCTTTTTGTAGTTTGGCCTCTAGCAGGGGTTGAAATACTTAACGCAAGTACTAACTAGTTTCAGGACAACGTTGGGTTATAAGCTACACTAATAAAAGGGGATCTCGCTGCGGGACAAGTCAGCCCGCCTCCTCTTTACGTTAAGTGAAGGTTGGCCTGCCTTCGGAGGGTGGGGTCCCTGCGAAAGTTGGCATGCCTGCTCTTTACATTAATTTGGACGGAATCAAAGGTTAAGAAAAAAACAAGTTTCGACTCCAAATGAGTGAAACACCAAAATGCACGAAACCAAATTTTCGGGTTTACGTTCTTCACAATCCCAAAGCGTCAAACGACTCGAAATTTGAAGGACAATATCCGCATGCTGGCTAGTGCAATAATCAAATGTCAAATTGTGATCAAAATATGTGCTAAATGATTAGGAAGAATTGTTACATGTCCTAACTTTCCAATCCTAGTCCGTTGAAATTTTAATTTTGATTATGCTAATCAGTTCCCTCAACTCAAGTTGTCAACTTGGTTGGAAGGGCATGCAAAATGATGTGGATAGGAGTGGGCCGGTTTGGACCATGAGGAATCTGATTCTTTCACACGTCCATGCCTTACCCTCCAAAGGATAGTTGCCGGTTTAGTTAAATCATAAATAAAGTATAGTTTAATAGTAAGTGACATGTTTTTAAATTGGGTGCCTTTGGTTTTTTCTTTATTTTAGTTTTTTTATCTTAGTAGAATATAGTCACAACTCCAAAAATGTGTTAGGTTTTTTGTTCATGAGTAATTGGATCGACGTTAGGTTTTTCTTTTTGGAACTCGGTGCTCAGTTCTATGAGCTATTGGTCCATTCCGTGCGTTCAAGTGTGTTTCCGCCAATAAGACCACTTACACTTCTCTCATCTACAAGGTTTTAAGGTTTACGCGCTTGGTTGGGGTGATAAGGATTTCCAGCTCGGGAATTAGACGTCACCCATTCACATACCGAACTACTCTAGGTTAGGGTCATGGGATTTCCAGCTCTCGAACTAGACATCACCTGTTCGATTATCACCGATTACGTACAAACTACTTTGAATCAAGGCCGTGTGCACAAGCCAAAGACCTAGATTTAACCGATTCATGAGGCTTACAAGGTTTTTCAAGAGATACGGATAGCCGATTCTTCATGCTTGTGCCCTGGATTAATAAAAAGAAAAATTTAGATAATGTTAAACATTGACATGTGGCAAAGAAACACAGGAAAAAGGTGAGACATTGACTTGATATTTTTTGTTTATCGACAACTTTATCAATTCTGCTCGTGCGCAACTTAAACCGTGCAAATAATTACTGTAAAGACCAAAAACCGAAGATGAAAAGAATATGAAGAAGCTACCGGCAGAACTGGCTGAACCAAGATTGGTCCACCCAAAAAATAAAAAAGGCCAGACAAAAAGGACCAGTGAATCAAGTTAGCTTATTTCAAAAGAAGTAAAGTTTCTTGATAGTTTCATTTTGCCATATCTATTACATTAAGATTGCGGACTCCGCTTGTGTATCTCTCGCATTGATCTAAAGGGAAATCCATTCTGAACAAGAAACTTCATCACGCAGGAAAAATTCGACATCTCCGAATGTGAGACTATAAGGACCGCTTTGAGATATTCATCACGCAATGAAGGGAGACTAAATACAAGCCTAATTACATATACAATTAGACCTGCCCTTACTCAAAAGTTTAGAACAATTACTTATGAGCCAACTAAAAATATTAAGCTCTCCACATCACACCAATTCTTCAATGTGGGCACTTGATATAAATTTCGCATGTGTACCTGCCAACAAAGCTCCGTCACGTACGAACGATGTCAATATATGGAACTTTTGTGTTTTTTGGTAAGTTGCTGAGTATGAAGCCAAGTTCAATGAAACAAACGACTAAAAATTAGGAAAGCTAAAAACTTTAGAAAGAATAAATTAACCAAAAAAGACCTATATTTGTTGGGCGACTGCCTGCAGCCTTCCGTCGTGGGAACAATTGCCCATGTCGACACACCATGATGGTGGTCATATTTGTTGCGATGGTTGCTTGAGTTCCCTGGGGAAAATTGTCACATTAGTCCTAAACCTATTGTACGGCGGCAATTCGATCCTAAACCTTTTAATTTTGCCAATTCAGTCCTAAACCTTTTAAATTCTTGCCAATTGAGTCCTTAGGCCGGTGTGACGTGGCGCCGTCAAATCAGCCGGGCCATCGCGACGACATTTTTCAATTTTTAATATTTTTTTTTTTAATCTTCCTTTCAACAAACTCCACTCTGTATGACAATGTCAACATATGGAACTTTTGTGTTTTTTGGTAAGTTGCTGGGTATGAAGCCATGTTCAATGAAACAAACGACTCAAAATTAGGAAAGCTAAAAACTTTAGAAAGAATAAATTAACCAAAAAAGACCTAGATTTGTTGGGCGAGGGAACAATTGCCCATGTCGACACACCATGATGGTGGTCATATTTGTTGCGATGGTTGCTTGAGTTCCCTGCCACATAAATATTGCGCAACCAGACATGGTAATTTATCCCATATCCAGGGTTATATCGGGACTATCAAACGCACCCTTCAAGCGCGGTATGAGTTAACTTTCTTCTCGATTACGTGCACCCACATAATTATTACAACGTCCACATAATTATTACAACGTCATAGAGTAAGAGACATTTTTGCACGTAAGATATTTGCTATCGCATGAGTCTAAGAGTTATTACATATATATATATATATATATATATATATGTGTGTGTGTGTGTGTGTGTGTGTGTGTGTGTGTGTGTGTGTGTTAGTGAATTAACCATAAGAAATAAAGGCAAAATCTATTCTAAAGTCAACACTGTACATGACACATCAGATACAACATAGGGAGAGACAGAGAAAGAGAGATCCTCTATGCATTTGTATATTGTAACTACAAATAAAACACTTCCATATGCATATGCACGAGACACCCGAAGGAATAAACTCGAAACAAGATCGATTTACCTTGTGATATCTATAAAGCGTAGGTCTATCCCAAAAAAACATATTAAGTAAGCTCGTTCTAGCTTGTATCAATTTCATTCACCAGATCTACATTGTTCTAATATGCATCAATTTCATTCGCCGGATCTATCTCGTGACGTCCCTTGTCGATATAGGACGATTCTGTGCATTATCTACTCGGGTTTTTACACACTCGAGCAATAAAAATTCTCACGCAATGCACGAGCCGGAGACGCTGGGGTTTAAGGAAGCGAACCGGAGCAGCTCCTCATCGGCATCGAGCGAGTCCATGTCCGCTTGGCTCAGCGTCAGCCAGACCTCGATCATGCCGCCGCCCCTCGCGTCCACCAGGACGATGCTGTTCTTGTACTCCACGCCCACGGAGCTGACCCACGCCGGCGTGCCCCACCCGAAGTCGGCGGCCTTGTAGAGCCCAAACCCGCACCAGCTGCTGCAGTTGTAGAAGTCGACGGCTCCGCTGTTGATCAGCGTGCCAAACTTGGTAGCAGCCTCGACTATCGTCATGCAGCTCGCTTCGCCGCCGGTCAATCTTGGCGTGTAGTTATCGAAGTACTCCCTCTTTGCCTCCCTCATGTCGCTCACCAACTTCTTCAGCTCCATCTCCCTCTCCTCTGCTTGGGACGGGATCTCCACCTTGAAACCCCCGACGAAATTTCCGACCGTGGTCTGTGGGAGCGGCTCCGGGAGCCGTCCCCGGAGGTTCACCGCTTGGGAAAGAAGGGATTGCCGCCCAGGGTTGTTCTTCCTTGAAGCGCAGGCTACACGCCTCCACACGAGGGCCGCCACGGCCTCCACCTGGGTCGGCTCCGGCACAGCCTCACTGGCAGCAAGCGGGGTGATCTTGGCTGGGTCAAGCACGTACCTCCTTGTCACGCACCTTGCCTTCGGGAGCACCACCATGGCCGAGATGGCAGCCAATTCTACCAGTGGCGGGAACCGTGCCGACGCCATGTCAAGCGGCGGGATTTCAATACCAACGATGGCATCGCCAAGGTGGGCGGCAGCAGACCACGCCTTGATGAAGGTGGTTAGGGTGGAGGCGTCGGCAATCTTGTGGGAAACGCAGATTCCGACAGCGAGGCCGCCACAGCCAAAGGCATTGGCCTGGACGAGCAAGAGGCGGCCGGTGGAGGCCTCTGGCGACTCTGTGTCAATCGGGAGGAGCTTACACAGCGAGACCGGGCAGGGGCGGTCGAGGATGTGGGAGATATGACAGTTAACTTTGGCATCAACGAACTCGGCACCACCATCATCACAGTCGATATAGAGGTTGTCCCTGATCCTTCCTGCGAGGGGGTAGAAGCGAGCGAGCGCCTTCGACAGCGACGACTTGAGATGACTCGACCTGTGGCGGGGAGACGAAGCGCTCGCGTGCGAGGTGTAGAAGAGGAGGACGGAGGTGTAGAGGATGGGACTGAGTTGGTCGAAGACGGAGAAGTTGAAATTCTTCAGGTGGTCTGGTGTTGGTGACGACGGTCTGATGGTTTCTTTGGCGACGACTTCGACCTTCAATTCGATCGTCATATTGAGAGAAAGAGATGTGTAAGCACTGATACGAAGATCCTCTTGCTCCTTCCTCATTCATGGAAGTAGAGGTGGAGGAGAACATATATATATATGAGGTTCTTTGAACAGAATGCTCACGGGGAGGTTGTTGCACGTATCTATACTTTCTCGCAAAAGTCACATTTTCAATGGCCGCCCACCCAAAATGTCATGTTTGGTCCTTATTAAACTCGAATTATTCATTATATGAGGTCGAAATCGTCGATAAATCGCCAAGAACTGCTACTTTTCTGGCTCGTGACATGTGGCGAAGTTGACTGCCTTCACGTTCTAATGTTTTCATGACTATTCCCTCTTCGTAGTTGATTTCATCTTTCGGCGAAATTAATGATTCTTCGAATGCCTGCAACTGGCAAGTACGATGTATGAACTTGGAAACCCTAATCCTAGTTATCTTCCCAAAAACCAACGCTTGCCTGAATCCACGCAGCGAAAGCAAACGGATTTTAAACAAGAGGGAAATAAATACGTTTTAGGAACGAAACATTTGATGATGATGTTGGACAAACCATGAAAACATGGCCAAAAATAAACAAAAGATGGTTATGAACTTGAAATTCATAATCTATTTGATTTTCATTGTCCACCATATATTCATGTAGAGAAGACAAAGGTCACCCGGATTTAAAGACGGATATTGCGTGGATTACTGATGAAATCGAGCGATAGGGGGCGATACGAGATCGGTTGAGCCTGCATTAAATGCTTTCGCTTAGCTCGTGAATCTTGATTTGTACAAATGAAAAACTTCGTACGTTTTCCAGATATGACGATTTTCGGTCAGCTCGCGGACTTTGCTTTGTTACGTAGTGCATGGGGAGATGGACCCTGCTATTAGGAAAATTATCCAAAAAGTCCTAAACTTATTACATTTTTATCAATTTAGTTATAAATTTATTACACTTTTGCCAATTAAGTCAAAGACATTTTACATTTTGTTAATTAAGTTCATTCAGTCAATTTTGGCCGGCCTAACATGGACGTGGCCTTCCTGCGTGGCACGCTCGGCGTTGACTTAGACAATTTTTTAAAAGTATTTTAATATTTTTTCGAACTTTACTAAATTGTTTTCCTTTTTTTCATTTCTTCTCTTTTCCTTTTTTATTTTTTATTTTTTTCTTTTCTCGCTTGCTCAAGCGTAGGCCTAGGCCTAGGCGTCCCTCGCTTGGGGGGCCCTTGCTAGCCCCTCACAAGAGCTGCCCTCCCCAGCCCACGCTCAGGCGTCCCTCGCATGAGGCCTAGCGATGGCTAACGGAGGGAAAAAGGAAAAAAAAAAAAAGAAAATAAGAGAAAAGGAAAAAAAAAAGTAAAAAAGTAAAAAGTAAAGGAGGAAAAGGGAAGAAAAGAAAATTAAAAAATATTAAAAATATTAAAATATCATTAAAAATTATCCACGTCAACACTAATCGTGTTAATAATGGCTGGCGTTCAAGTTAGCAATTTTCGACTAAAATTGGCTGGATGAACTCAATTGGTAAAACGTGAAAATGTTTAGAACTCAACTGGCACAATTAAAAGGTTTAAAGCTCAATTGAAAAAGTCGAGAGGTTTAGAACTTCTTGGATAATTGTCTCGACTGTTACTCATTAACAGAAACTCAATATTAAATTAATGCAGGCCAAACACATAAAACCTTCACTTCAACACGCCTCAAAATGCTAAAGTTTTATCAAAGCAATAGATAATCTCAACTCATTTGAAAGCTCCAAATGCAAGGTCACATCTAGTCCATATGTACCGAACTTCATCAAGAAAAGCACAAGTCAACGGGTATGGGTATTTTATCAGCTATACTGGCGTGCAAGCTAGTGCTATAATAAATGGTCAAATTGTGACAAATTCTATGCTAAACAATTAGGGAGAGTTGATATGTCTTAATTTTCCAGTCCCTGTCCATTGAAATTTTTATTCTAGTTATGCCAATCCGTTCCCTCAAGTCAACTTTATTACAAATGCATGCCAAAAATGATAGGAATGGGCCGGTTTGGACCATAAGGAATATGATGCTTTCCCACGTGCATGCCTTACCCTACAAGCACCACGTGTACAGCGTCCATGGACTCTTCCTAATAGTGTAATTAAATAAAACCGCAACAACCCATCATAGAAAAAACTATAGTCTTATAATTAGTGACTATAGTTCTTAAAGTGGGTGCCTAGTGTTTTTTTTTTTTGTTATTATCTTAATAGTATATAGTCCAATAACTCCAAAAAAATGTGTTAGCTTTTTGTTCATGTGTAATTGGATCAATTGTTAGTTTTTTTTTTCTTTTTTGTTGTATTTATTAGCTTTTTTAGTCTAGCTCTTTTGAACCGAATGCTTGGCTCTATGAACCCTTGACGGATTCCATATGTTCAAGTGGGTTTCCGCCAATAAGTCCGTTTATACCTCTCTTCTTCACTCTATATTTAAAATATTTTCAAACCTGGGATTTTTTGCTCAGGAATTAGGCATCACCCATTCAAATTGCAACAATTTCATGCAACCTGCTATAGGTTGGAGAAGATGGGATTTCTAGGTTGGGAGTTGGACGTCACATGTTTTGATCTCGCCAACTACATACAAATTGTTCTGAGTCAGGACTATGGGGTTTACAAAGTTTTTCATGGGGTCTAGGCAGCCGAGTTTTTACGTCCATGCCCTGGAATATAAAAAGACGAGGGATAAAGTTAAACATTGACTTGTGGTAAAGAAATACAGGAAAAGGCAACGGATATTGACCTGATATCTTTTGTTTATCAACAACGTTCTGCTCGTGTGCCAGGTAGCCTCAAACAATTCAAATAATTACTTTATCCACCAAAAATCAGAAAGGAAAAAGAAAAAGAAAAGATAATCAAGAAGCCACTCGAAGAACTGCCCAAAGCAAGATTGGTCCACCCAAAAATAAAAATGCCAAACAAAAATGCTGATGACCACCAAGTCTTTCGGTTTTATATTTGTTTAAAGTGGAATCGAGTTGCTTATTTAGAAGTCCGAAGTCGTAGTTTATAGAAGTAAAGTTACTTGATGTGAACTAATTTGCGCATTTTTCTTTCGTGTGGCCTAAATTTCTTAGTTCATCAGGGAAGCTGGAGTAGGAGGAATGTGCTATAGATATCTTAGAAAACTATGTCTCATTCAGCAAAGAGAATTGCAAGCTGTAAACTTCATTTTTTGTGAAGGAACGTGATGTGGATGGAGAAAGCAAGTTCCCGAAACTGCAAAGCCAAGATGGTGTCCTCATCTATTGACAGCAAGATCATCGCATATCTTGCCCGATAATAGAGCTCTAGAACTGGGACGATCTAATTGTGCAATAGTTGTCATCAAGTTTCGAAGCAAACTCGCGATGGAGCAAAAGCAGCAAAACTAACAGTGAAGTCTAGTAAAATGTAACTGAGAATCTAACTCAATCACTATGTCACGAGCTCAATTTGATAATCAGCTTCTTGAAGCTCAACCTGAGAATCATGTCAGAAGAAAACGTTACGGGCGCGAAAAGAAATTGGATTAAAGCTTTGATTGTCAAACAATCGAATTCAAAAGGCTTAAATCATGAGATGGAGGACTGAAACGTGCATAAGATCTGCTAAAAATCCTAAGTCTCAGCGGTGTTATACTTTTAACGTCTTGCAAGCTTAACATTTCATTACAATTGGTTGGTCTAGTGAAGAGGTCTATCCTCTGCCTAAAATTTCGATGCGCCCAGCGCCGGCAATAGGTTCGCCCATCCGGATGTCTATGCTCATGACATCTAGCTCCTTCCGGAGTTCAGACCTCGAAGGGCAGTAGTTATGGTCCAAGACGGTCGATAAAAAAGGTGAACATCGAGAGAGACCTCGCATCAATTGGCGTAGCGACATGACCTGTTCGGGTTCCTGAAGGAGCTGAAACTTGGGTGATTGCTTCGTTTTCTTTATTTTCCCTCTTCTGGCTTCATCATGTCAAAGTCCATGTGAATATGTATTTGTCACATTCGCCATTTATTTGAACTTAAGTGGGCTTGGTACCACAAGTCAAGAATACAAACTTTGGTAGTGTATCTCTCACATTTATTTGAAGGGAAATCTAACAGAAAACTTCATTGTTTTGGCAAAAGAAATAAACGCACTAATTAACTATGCACATGGTAAGTGCATTATTAATAGTGATCCCCACTCTGCACAACAATGTTAATATAGAGAACTCCATTGTTTAAGTTGCTAGGTATGAAGTCATATTTTAGGAAACAAATTATTCAAAAATACAAAGCTAAAAATGTAGGAAAAAAAAATAAAGTGACCAGAAAAGCCCCGAATCTATAGGGCGATTGTGTCCAGACTTCCGGCATGATGACGGTCGCCCTTGTTAGCAGGGTGATCGTCGCCGGCAACCACCATTGTGGTGGGTCGTCCACCAGCAGTCTCATCTATTGTTGCAACGGTTGTTTGAGACCGCTGCTACATATTTAATGCATTCATTAAGAGAGAGAGAGAGAGAGAGAGAGTCACTTCCGTCGCAGCGATCACTACTCACGGGCAACCACTGAGACATTGGCTCTACACTCTTTTTTCTCCATCATCACCAACACGGTTGAATGTGAGCAATAATGTAATTCTTTATGCGGAAATTCTAAATTAAAGAATTTTACATCTTCATGATTTATCCACGATAAGATGTATGAAGACACACATTTATCCATAACAGTAAGTTTGATAAAATAATTATTGCGGAAATACGAGAAACGAAGAAATCCAATTTCTCTCCCTTAACCCACATTAGTCTTAAATTACTTTATCTGATGGAAAATAGAATACAACATTTAGTCATCTAGGGTGAAGAGATGATGAGGCTCTTCATATATGCCTTCAGTAAGTGCCTTCAACGAATGCCTTACATCAAAGCACATTATATTTTCATAAGAGTTGCACCTTCTCATAGCCAATAGGTTTTTAGCATTTAAATAATAATTAAATCATTGATTAATAATATCACGTGGGCCACAATTATTCTCATACTGAGAGCACTGTCACTCATCACTTCCTCTATCCCCCACCCCTCTAGCGTCTCTAGAAACCCATTGGAAGCTTTTCTCTTTTCTTTTTTCATGTTTTAATTTCATATCGAGATCACCCACGATTCCCCATTCGAGATTCGAACAATATTCGGAGTATCCAATTTTGTGCAATCAAGAGTACATAACCAAACGCAGTGTGGAATAATTTATTTCTTATCCAGAGTTATATCTAAGCTATTAAACACACCCTTACAAGCACCGAATGAGTTTAGTTTCTTTTCGATTGCCAAATCATGCGCACACATACATTCATTTCAGGTCATACACATTTTCATATAGAGAGAGAGAGAGAGAGAGAGAGAGAGAGAGAGAGAGAGAGAGAGAGAGAGAGAGAGAGAGATCCTCTATACATTTGTAAATGGTAACTACAAATAAAATAGTACTCTCATGCATACGCACAAAACAACCGAAGGAATAAACTATAAACATGATCGAATTACTCTATGTTATCTATAAACCATGCGTCCACACCAAAAAAAAAACATAAGAAATTTAAGTAATCTCGTTCGAGTTTGTTTCAATTTTATTCACTAGATTTGTTCTTTTTCTAGTTTGTATCCTTTTTAATCGTGGAATCTATCTCGTCATGCGCTGTCAATATAGGACAATTCTGCGTGATATTTTCTGGGGTTTTTTACACACTCGGAGCAATAAATTCTCACGGAATGGACAAGCCGGAGACGCTGGGGTTCAGGGAAGTGAACCGGAGCAGCTCCTCATCAGCGTCAAGCGCATCCATGTCGGCATCGCTCAGCGTCAGCCAGACCTCGACGGCGTCCCCGTCCCTCGCGTCCACCAGGACAATGCTGTTCTTGTACTCCACCCCGGCAAGGCTGACCCACGCCGGCCTCCCCCACCCAAAGTCTGCGGCGTCGTGGAGCCCGAGCCCACACCAGCTGCTGCAGTTGTAGAAGTCGACGGCTCCGCTGTTGATCAGCATGCCGAACTTGGTAGCGGCCTCGACTACCGCCATGCAGCTCACTCCACCACCGCTCAGCCTTGGCGTGTAGTTCTCGAAGTACTCCCTCTTCGCCTCCCTCATGTTGCTCGCCAACTTCTTCAGCTCCATCTCGCTCTCCTCTGCTTGGGGCGGAATCTCCACCTGGAAGCCCCCGACGAAATTCCCGACCGTGGTCTCTGGGAGCGGCTTTGGGAGCCGCCCCCGGAGGTTCACTGCTTGGGACAGCAGTGATCGCCGCCCAGGATCGTTCTTCCTTGTAGCGCGGGCCACACACCTCCACATGAGGGCCGCCACAGCCTCCACCCGGGTCGGCTCCGGCACGGCCTCACTGGCAGCAAGCGGGGTGATCTCAGTGGGATCGAGCACGTACCTCCTTGTCGTGCACCTCACTTTCGGGAGCACCACCACGGTTGAGGTGGCAGCTAATTCTGCCAGTGGCGGGAACTGCGCTGACGCCGTGTCGAGCGGCGGGATTTCAACACCAGCGTTGACTTCACCATGGAGGGCAGCGGCGGACCACCCCTTGATGAAGGTGCTTAGGGTGGAGGCGTCAGCGATCTTGTGGGAGACGCAGACCCCAACAGCGAGGCCGCCACATCCAAAGGTATTGGCCTGGACGAGCAAGAGGCGTCCGGTAGAGGCCTCTGGCGACTCGGTGTCGATGGGAAGGAGCTTGCGCAGCAAGGCCGGGCAGGGGCAGTTGAGGATGTGGGAGAGAGGGCAGTTGACTTTGGCTTCGACGAACTCAGCACCGCTGCCGTCGTCGCAGTCGATGTGGAGGTTGTCCCTGATCCTCCCGGCGAGGGGGTAGAAGTGAGCGAGCGCTCTCGAGAGCGACAACTTGAGACGACTCGACCGGTGGTGGGGAGGCGAAACGCTCACGTCCGAGGTGTAGAAGAGGAGGACGGAGATGTAGAGGATGGGACTGAGTTGGTCGAAGATGGAGAGCTTGAAATTCTTCAGCTGGTCTGGCGTCGGAGACGACGGACTGATGGTCTCTTTGGCGACGACCTCGACCTTGAATTCGATTGTCATGTCTGCCAGTGAGAGAGAGAGAGAAAGAGAGAGATTTGTAAGCACTGATATGAAAATCCTCTTGCTCCTTATTTATAAAAGAAGGGTTGCTGGCAGGACGGTAGGGTTATTATACAATAGCGACGGTGCAACAATGACCAAATATTGCCACTTCAAAAAAAATGGATAAGAGATAGCCTGATGCATTTAGAAAGATATGTCCAATGATAATTTTCTAGCCAAGAAAAGGCCATGAGACATATTTTGGATTAGACATAGTTTGATGCATTTAGAGGAATAATCCAAGGACATTAATTAGAGATAGTTTTATGCAAATTTTGGATATTTTTCCAAAATCAAATGTATTCTAGCCAAAAAAAAACAAAGTAAGAGGTTGTCGCAGGTATCTATACTAACTCGAAAAGTCACATCTCCCCTTTGGTGTCTACCCCAAAATAACATAGTTTGATCCTAATTAAATTCGAAGTTATCTCACTAAACAACATCGAAACCGTCCATCAATCAGCCAAAAAGCTGCTACTTTTATGGCTTGTAACGTTTGGCAATATTAACTTCTTTCCTGTTCTAGGCGTTATCTCCAACGAGGTATGGAGAGGACAAATGTCAGCATGGATTTGAAAACGGATAAATTGCTGGGTAGATCCTGCTCGGATGCGCGCGTATTTGATACTTTGGGTTAGGTCATGAATTCTGGTTTTTATAGACTAATAATAAGCTCTTACATTTGCAAATATGATGCGACTTATGGTCCAGGAAAATATTGAGATATAAATTATTGTCAATAATTAAAAAATTCTTGTTGACTAATTATTTAAATCGATATAAGTCATCATTTTTAGAAAAATATTTTCCGAATCATTCATTCTTCGCGAAACAAAAAGAACATAAGTCTCCCATGAATGTTAAATATAAATGTCTGCAGCAATATATGATCACAAAATTTCACAGAGAAAAAAAAAACCCTAGATGGTCTTGAGATCATTCATTCACAATTTTAGATTCTATTAAGCCTTTTTTTGTTTTTCCTCTCCATAATTCTCTTAAGCAACTCTTGTCATCACACTAATTAAGGTTCATAATTACTGCAAAGAGTTGGTCAAATTAAGGTATTGCTAAGGAATGCAAATAGAAGTTTGTAGATGATTTGAAAAGTTGGAAAATTAGGAAAATCAAATAAACGTAGGCAAGTAACTCACATGAAAGCTGCTAACCAAATACTAGGTGGTAACTGAATGGGAGAAAAGGTAATTTAGGTTGGTAATTTATGAGAGTTAGTAAATCTAAGGGATTGCTTATCAAAGCAAATAAAAAGTTTGTACCATACTAGAAAATTCAGTAAATTAGAAAAATAATATCAAGCACTGTTAAGTAACTCAAAGGAGAGTTGGTAACCCAAAACTAGCTAACAACTAAATATGACAAAAGTTGCTAAATTACCCTTATTTAGGCTAGTAATTTCATAAAGAGTTAGTAAAATATGAAGTGTTAATAAGTTGTTCATATTAAAATGGGTAGCTTAATACAAAATTAGGTAATTTACAACGACAAGAGGAGTTAGTAATTTCATAAAAGTATTGGTAAATTTTCAACATATTACCTAAAAAAGTCAAAGGTTATTTTTTTGACTAACTGATTTGGGTCACTTACTAAAGGCTATTGAAATATACCGACGAATGAAAATCCACACGTTTTAACACAAAACAATAGAATCTTGCCATCTTATTTACAAGACTGGGTTAAGATTATTAAAGAAAGTATTGCATAAATAAGTCTACTAAATCAATACAATCACATTTCAAGAATGTGCGAGACTCACTATAGATCGCACTAAAAAACTCGTATTTTTTCTTTACCGTTGATTAATTCAGTCCATCACGTTACCATCTATACGATACCCAACTGGATAAGTAATTGTTCAGATAGAAAGCCGGGAATAAAATGCAAGGATGCTTACAAGGAAAGGCATGGAATCCAATGCGCAGGCTCTACACTTATAATTGGTTAGATCGATGCACGACCTTAATTTCAGAGATCTTCCAATTAATTTAAAGATGGGTAAAAAGCTGCCCATCGAACTACAAGCAAAGAGCTGTCCACCAAAGATATAAAACAAAGACAGAAATAAATATCGCCAAAATATAAAATGAAATTAACGTGTGCAAGCAAAGAAATGGTGGCGAGAGTGCTGATGATTCACGTTAAAATAGCCAATAAAAATTAAGGGATTGAGTGGACTTTTCTGCTTTTGGGTGGGGGTGTAAGATCCGATGAAGATGGCTTGAACCCTGCAAGAACCAGGTGACTTAGCTGAATAAGATAGTCATCTGCATTTGGTGCAGAGCCGATGTCCGATTGCTGTTTCTGATGTGGGTATTTGTCTGCGTAATCACAGCTGTTGTTGTTGGCTCGTCGGACGAGGTTTTGGGGTGCAAAACCTCTGTTATTTAAAAAGAAACAGATGGACAAGCTTTGTAGGGTTTTCGTTCGTGCTTGCGTTATGCGCATTCTTTCTCTCTTTCTCCTGAAGATGGACCTTATGCAATAATGCATGCGCATGTGACTCTCTCTCTCTCTCTCCCTCTCCCTACGGGAGGTCCACTGTAGTTCCAGCAGGAAATCCATGGAAAGAGGAGGAGAAGATACTTTGTGTGCAGCGGTCATACTTCGTGAAGAACCCGACTGATAAGGCTTGAGACTTTCGAATCTTAAGCATGAAAGCTAGTCGAGATGCATATCATGCGAGCAAGGTGATCGGTCGGCCATATCTAACGTCAGCCATGCAACTGATGCATAATTGAGATGCATATCATGCGAGCAACGTGATTGATCGGCCATATCAACATCAGTCAGGTGATCAAAGTATGTTTTCTCTTCAATTTTCTTTCGGCATGATTAGTTACGTTAATCTGATTCTACACGATTCAACAATGTTACAAGTAATTTCGCAAGGATATCGGTAGATGGTGCGAGATATTGAACCTATTTCACTTATTTTGACCCAACCCAAAACAGGATTTTTCTTCTTTTTTCTGTGCCATTATAAAATAGCTGTTTCATTTCATCCCTACCCTAAATGCGACAAAACCACGCAAAGCTACTTGGATACACCCCATGATTTACGGCTTTAATTCAGTCATCAAGTTTAGACCCCAAAATAATAATAATAATAATAATTCAGTCATCAAGCAAAAATATATATATATATATATATATATATATATGTATCTATCTGAAACACGTCATATACTATGGGCACTTCGTTTATTTTATAATGGTCACTTCGTATTTAAGTATTATCGATATAGCATAGTGAGAGAGAAAAGAAATATTTCTCTAGAATTTAGGCTCATGCTACTTCTTCCTATGGGAATGTTGACACCTATTTTTAATTTGCCCAAAATTAATTGCACAAAATTTAGGAGTTAATTTTCTTTAATTCCTAAAACAAAAATATTTCAATTTAAATGCATTGCATATAGAAATTAGATACATTTGCACTAATAGAGTCTATTATAGAGTTTAATTTAAAAAAAAAAAATCGAGTCGAGCCGGGTCGGGCTGGGCCGACCCGGCCCATTTCTTTTCCTTTTTTCCTCGGGCCCGGCCCCTTTTCCTTTTCTTTTTCCCCTTCACGCGAGCTAGGCCCGCTTTCCTTTTCTTTTCTTCTTCCCCCCTGCAGTTGGGCTGGCCCGGCCTTGACCCTCTCCTTCCTTCTCCCCCGTCGCTCCGCCCTTGTTCGCCTCGCTCACCGACGGCAGTGTGACTCACGGCGGCGCGCTTCTCCTCGAGTCATTATCCAGGCCCGAGGAAGGAAGGCCGGATGAGCACACCGACGGGACTGGCATTAATTGCCAGTCCCGTCCTCCCCGTTTTCCCGGCTTCCCCTTATCTCCTCCTCCCTCTCAGCTCGCTATTCCTCTCTGCCCCATCTCAGACTTGCTCCGTCCCTGCTCTGCACCGGCCTGCAAATGGCCACGAAAGTCGTGGCGTGGCGTAGGCCGGTGCAGGCCGTCGTCACGCCGACGCAGAGAGGCAGAGAGTGCTCACCGTCGCCGCCTATAAATAGTCAGAGAGAGAGAGAGAGGCCGGTCAGCCGTTTTGAGATATAGAGAGAAAAACAGAGAAAGGGGGAGACGGAGTGAAACAGAAGAAACTGAGAGCTCTTCCGGCGGCCACCGCGCCTCAGCCATCCATCCCCGCCGCCGAGCCGACGGCGGCGATACAGAGAGAGAGAGAGCCCCCAGTCGGCAAAACAGTGAGAGAGAGAACAAAGAGAGAGTGAGAATAGAGAGAGAGAGAGAGAGAGAGAGAGAGAGAGAGAGAGAAAGAGCAAACCGAGTGTTCGTCGGAGCAAGAAGGACTGCGACCCAACCCGTTTTCATTATTTTATTATTATTTTTTAAAAAAAAATTTATTAAACAAAATTTTAAGAAAATTTTTTTTTCCATATTTTTTTTTTCTCTTCCTTAAAAAAAAATCAAAAAAAAAATAAATTTTTTTTTAAAAATTTGTGTGATATATTCTAAATGTTTAATTTATTGTAGTATTATTTTGTAAGTTTTTGTCTTGTTTAAATTAGACAAGCCTGAGATTGCGCGGTAATATTTTGCATGTTATTTTTTTTATCGCTGTATTATTATGCATGTTTTTAATACAATTGCATGAGTTGTTGTGTTTTGAATGTCATCGACTTAGTTAAGGTTAGAATCTTAGGCTGCATGAATTGTTGTGTTCATTGCTAATCGCTTCGATTATGCACTCGCTTGATCACCTCACATGTTAGGAGAAAGGTCCTAAAATCAATCTAAATTGCCTAACAAATATTTTCATGAAATGAACAGGGTAAAAAGATACCGAAAGGGCATTAGTTATCCAACTAGTGTAGCCAAGTCCCCGAATTCGGTTAATCTCGGTTCGCGGGAATAGGGTGATTCTCCCATCACCCTATTTGGGTTTCTAATCGACCCACCCCAAATCGATTAGTGGCGACTCCTTGATATAAATCACCCGCATGTTAAGAAACTTAAACCCTAAGTCGCGATATGGTATGGGCTTGGGAGAGCCCGAGTTAAGTCCCAAACCTA